AAACAGCCATACCATAAATGGGGAAAAACACAACAACATGTTTTAACATGATGCTCGCTAGTTAAATTCCTTCAATCACAGTGCAATTCATGGACAGATGGACAGATATCAGGACAGATTGAATATGGCATATATTCGCCGCGGCTTGTTTAAACGATACATAATCTGAGAGTTTAATTTTTAGAGCAACTGAGGATGCATGCTGGCAAATATTCTGTGATGTATGGCCTCTTAGTACTCTTTCAACTCTGTCTTGTCTGGATAGACCAACAATATTACGCATCTCCACAGAAATTAATGTAGAGAAGAGTGATTAAATGATTGTGGAAGCTAATTTATAGGATCATTACGTAAAATTATGGTCTATCGCATGTTTTCGGGAATAATTCGATTGTTTTGTGCTGTGTGGCATGTGAGAAATTGGAAAATCAAAACCTCTAATTGGAAAATCAAAAAGTAATTATTCATTGATGTATACAGTTCTTAATTGATCGCAACGTTCTGACCAATGGTATACATTGTGACCGAAAAGTTTTCGGAAATTCTCATTTAAAATTCGCGCGCTGTATATTTTTCGATATTTTAAGTTTATGTAGTTTGGCAGCACTGTCCTTAATTACTATGCCAAAAATGAGCGCGATCTGTCGGACAGTTCGTTTACGGCAGCTGTTGAAACCAGTTCACCTCAGTAGTGCGTTGCGAAAAAAACAATGGAAAAAAATATTGAACAAAGAGTTTGCATCAAATTTTGTTTTTCGAACGAAATTTCGTGTGCAGAATCGTTGCGAATGCTACAAAAGGCTTATGGGGAATCAGTTTTATCGAAAACTCAAGTTTATGAGTGGTACAAAGCCTTTCAGGACTGTCGTACGACCGTCGAAGACATGCCGCGTTCTGGACGACCTTCGACCTCTACCACCGACGAAAACATTGAAAAGGCAAAGGAAATCGTGTTCAAAAATCCTCATGTGAGTGTTAGAGAGATAGCACGAGAGCTAGGCATCGGTCGTGAGATGGCTCGTTTGATTTTGGTGGACAATTTGTGTATGCGACGTGTCAACGCCCGGCTTGTTCCGATTCACCTCAATTTGTTCAACATTATCAACGATTTTAAGGCCAAACATTCAATAAATACCATCGAACAGCCACCGTATTCACCTGATCTTGCACCGTGTGACTTTTTCCTGTTTCCCAACCTCAAATTACCACTCAGAGGAACGCGTTTTGAATCCATAGAAGACGTAAAACAGAATTCGCAGAGGGAACTCAAAGCCATACCGGAAAGCGCCTATAAAAAATGTTTTGATGATTGGAAGAAACGTTGGCATTTGTGTATCGCTTCTAATGGAGCACATATTTTGAAGGAGATAAAATAAATATTGATGAAGATTAAGAATTTTGCGTTTTATTTAAAATTTCCGGAAACTTTTCGGTCACAATGTATATGCGAAAGTATAGCTTTCTGGAAGCCCAGAAAACTCTCCGATATGACATGAATATACATTCATGTGGAAAAAGTAAAACTTGCTATATATAAAACTGCTGTCAATAGTCAAAATGTTGATAACTTAAAAATGCAATTCCTATGAAATACGGCAGTTATTTATATTATATACAAAAAATTCAAATATGTTATACAAATAATATGTATACAAAATATACATAAATATATATAAATATTTCATGTAAATAGAAAACAGTATTAATACGTTCGAACAATACATAATAATACATAATACATAATAATACAAATACATAATAAATTAACTAAATTTTTTTATATAAATAATAATTTAAAAAAAGTAATTATTCAAACAAAATTTTATCAACTATATTCGCATATAATTTATGGTTAATATTATCATTAACCCTTTAGTAGCTTGTCCATGATATTACACACTTTACACTGCGTAATAATTTTTTTATTTTAATAAATAAATATATTTCACTATGCGTTTTTTTCAATAATATTTTTCAATATTTTTTAAATTTTTTTAAATATTTTTCCGAAATATATTTATTTTAATAGCTTACATATAAAAATATACTTTTGAATTCTTAAATATGTGAGAGAGGTATTCGGCACAGCCATGTAATCCACTGTAGATATTTTCCGTATCAATTACATGCTCTGCTGGAGCACAAGCTTAATTTGTTCAATTAATTTTCTTCAAAAGATTTTAACCAATTTTATGTCTCTGACCAATTTTATTTTATTTATTTTTCCATCAGTCTTAATAAATTTTCTTATATGATTTTATTGCTTTTTATTTCCAAACGCATATATGTTTGTATGTATCATGAGTGTAGTATGTACGAGTACGTGCTATGCAGTAAATTGCATTTTGACCTATAGTAGCGAAATAACGTCGTATTAACCTCTGTTAGCCTTAGGAAATTGGTTTCTGTTTCTGGGGCTTTTGAAAACTGAAAACTCTTAATTAAAAGTAGGAAACTTTAATTTTCAATTAAATTGTTTAAGTTTAGTCATTTATGATGTGATGACTCAAGTAGATGCGATATTCCTCGAGTTTGGAAGAAAATGCTTAATTATTATTAACAAGAATATACGACTGTAGCAAATATATTAACAGGAAATAAGAATTTCACTGCATTTGTTCATTATAAAAGATTTTGAAATTTTTAAGAATTTTTTAAATTTATATGTAATATTTATCTTAAAAATAATATATCTACTGTTTAATGTTGACAACTTTACAGTTCTACTTTAAAATTTTAATGATAATTCATAAACACTATTATTAATTTGTTTTTTCAAATTAATCTTTTTTATATTTAACTATTATATTACCTATTCTGTGACTTACTTTAGAGATCTACTCTACAGTAGATCTCGACAGAAAACAGCTGGAACAAGCAAGACAAAGTGCAAGTTTAGTTACCGGAAGCAGCAGCGGCGCCTGAACGAAGGTCACACTGATAAAAGTCTTCCTTAATACGGAACCTACCACGAAATAATACTAACATAGTCCCGGGGTAGGACAAGGTCTTTAGAAATGACGGAAAGGGATTCAATGTGAGTAGGGCACTCACTTTCCGGGTCGCTAGATCATGGTCAGTGTGTAAACATTCCCCTTCTCCACGCCTCATAAAATACAAAGAATAAAAGACTATCATATGACATACTCCCAAACAGCGCTCTAGAAAAGGCAATATAACACACACAAAAACAACTAATAGGAGTTATATTTAAAAAGCTAAATGCATATGCTGACAATATTGTTATTATAATCCATACACCAGGTCACTTACTAGAAGATATGCACAACTTATAGACACAACAGTATAAATTAATTTGAAAATAAATGTAGATAAAATCAAGGTTCGCACCGTTACTAAACGACGAAACTCGATAATACGCGAACTACACATAACAAAAAATGGAATCCTGTATATAGTATGTATACATACATTGGATCGACCACTAATTTCAACAATTTATGAAATAAATTGAAGAATCAAACAAAGATTCTTTTGAAAGATCCTTATCAAAACTCGAAGATGTTTATTGATACTTTATGGACGCTGTCCATGAAGAGAATATCTGCATTAAGAGGTTTCGAATGGCGAGTTCTTATTAATATTTTTTATTCAATATGTGAAAATAATGAATGCTTTACAGTTTGAGTGAAAAATAGATTTTGAAATAAATCTTAAAATCTATTGAATCAAATCAAAACAACATATGTTCGAAGACAATATAGATAATGCTCTTAACAAAATAATAAAACATCAGTCTTAAAGAACAAGAAGTTGTTGTAGACCACGAACAAGATGAAATAACAATATGACATATAATGAACGAAAAGTCTCCAAGCACTACTGATTAGTAGTAACAGAAAGATAAATGGATACAGAGAAGACTCATGAGTGGAATAATGTTCGGCGTGGTGTATTATAAGAAATATAGAAATTAATAAAGCTACTTGGATTTAATTCTAAATTCAAATAAAACTAATTGATATTGAAAGTATTCTTTATATATAATAATGTGTATACATTTATATTGTAATGTATAATTTATATAATGTTAAAATTATATATAATTTCAATAACCGCGAATTTTAAAAATTTTTTGAATTGATTCATAATTATGGTAATTTACAATGTTATTTAGAAAGTAATTTCGTTTCCTTATAAATATGAAAGATAATTTTTTTTTTTAGGGAATAAAGTTTTTATTGATGTACATATTATCCATTTTAGTCCAATATCTTTCTGGCAGTAGCATGATTCCACGATTATAAATTTTGCCGCTATCTTTGTTGTCAAAAAAATAAGGCTATTAATTTTTGACCTCTTTATTTGATTTAACCATTAAAAAAAAACTTTGTAGTGAATGAAACAAATAATAATTATTAGGTTCCAGGTTCTGCACAATATGGTGAGTATAACAGTATATTATATTCAATCTGTAAAACATATTGAAAAGTTACCAAACTTATGTAGGGTTTCACTTCAGCTTGGTGGAACATTACATCTTCTATATTCATCAATTCTTAGCTCTTCTGTTTTAGTCAATTATTCAAATTGTCAAGCTAATGCCAGTACACTTCAGATAAATGGAATGGTTTCAGATACGTACATTTTTGAATAAAATACGAAAATTATATCTTTTAAATGTTAAGATAACAAGAAAGCATTTACAAATTATATGTTTTAACAGATATTTGACAAGTACAGTTTTGTGGATCCATGGTTTTGTGGTGAGAATCAACAAAGTAGGCTAAAATTGTCAGATTCTCTGATATTTAAAAATATTTTATTTAAAAATATTTATTCAGATTTTTTCAGTCAGTTGATCAGTCAGTCAATTAGTTAGTGTTTCTAAAGTTGTATTAAAAATAATAAAAGTTTGTGTTACAATAAATACTGTTTTTTATTAATAAAAGCTATTTGGTTATTGTAATCACAACATTGGTGACCCCGACACAAAAAGGAGTTGTAAGTTATTATCAAGCCCAACATTAGCAAGCAAGATGACTAACCGTGAGGAAGAAGATTTTTTTCCGGCAGAAGGAGAAAGTCGCACTGACAAAGAGGTATACCGGGTTTCAGTTAAGCCGATGATGTTTTCAAGAGAGCATCCGGACCTTTTTTTTCTGCAAATGGAAGCACAGTTCAGGAATGCGGGAATAACGAAAGATGATACAATGTTCGACCATGTAGTAGCAAGTTTAGAGCCGAAATACCTGGAGTGCATAGTTGATGTGATTCGAGATCCACCGAAGGTGTTGAAATATGAGACGTTGAAGAAACGGTTAATTTATGAATTCACAGAATCGGAGCACAAAAGGCTGCGTAAGTTGCTGACAGAATTGGAGCTAGGTGACATGAAACCAACTCAATTGCTGAAGAAAATGAAGGAGATGGCCGGAAATTCAATGAATGATGATGTACTAAAGTCATTGTGGTTACAGCGACTGCCAGTGGGAGTTAGAACAATCGTAGCTGCAGTGGAAGGTGATTCTGCACAGTGGGCCAAAGTGGCTGATAAGGTATTTGAGGTACAGGAAACAGAAACGGTTTGTGTAGTACAAAGGAATGAACCGAAGGAGATGAGGAAGGAAATTGACGAGTTGAAAGTCATGATAAATAATTTGGTCATTCAGTTGGGCAAAAGAGGAAGAAGCAATGACAGAGATCGTGGAAAAGGGCGATCATCAAGTGCTAGAAGAGGTAATATCTGTTTTTATCATCGGCGGTTCAAGGAGAGGTCCACAAAATGTGTTCAGCCTTGCCAGTACAAACCACCGCAAAACTCAGCGGAAAACTAAACACCACTTCACGTCTGACGGCGAGTGAAGTGGCAGAGGGTAAAGCATGCCGTTTGTTCTTCAAAGATAATAAAACAGGTATAAATTATCTAATAGACACAGGCGCGGAAGTTTCAATTTTGCCAAAGAGAATGCAGCCTGAAAATGAAGCCACGCAATATTATTTATACGCAGCAAACGGAGCGAAAATTAGCACGTATGGAACGAAATTAGTGCAAGTCAATTTGGGGTTGCGCAGACAGTTCCTGTGGGAGTTCCTAGTGGCGAAGGTAAATCTCCCAATAATAGGGGCGGATTTTTTGAATAATTTTGGTTTGATAGTTGACCTGAAGAACAGGAGAATTTTAGATGGCATTACAGGCCTCCAGGTAATGGGTTCGAAGAGAGAGATGCACTGCGTGAAGCTAAGCACAATTGATGCGACTAGCCCGGTACATAACATTCTGCGGGATTATAAAGAGATAACGGAACCGGCTACTAGTAATAAGGTGGCCGCGAAGGTTACGCTAGTAGAGCATCAAATTGTTACCAAGGGACAGCCAGTGTATGCAAAACCTCGGCGGTTAAATCCTGAAAAATTTGAAATTGCGAGAAAGGAATTTGAATTTATGACGAAACAAGGTATTTGTAGACCAAGTAACAGCAATTGGGCAAGTCCGTTGCATTTAGTGGCGAAAAAGGATGGTAAGTGGAGACCGTGTGGTGACTATAGGAAGCTTAATTCAATAACACTACCAGACCGGTATCCAATACCCCATATACATGATTTTACTCGCATATTGTACAATAAGAAAATTTTCTCTACCATTGACTTGGAAAAGGCCTACAATCAGATTCCGATTGCTGAGGAGGATCGACCTAAAACGGCGATAATAACCCCGTTCGGCTTATATGAGTTTAACATGATGACTTTTGGTTTATGCAATGCTGCGCAAACTTTCCAAAGGTTTATGAATGATGTCCTAAAGAATCTGAGTTATGTGGTAACGTACATAGATGATATATGTATAGCATCAGCTGATGAAAAGGAACACGAAATACATTTAAGAGAAGTGTTCAAACGATTAAGTGATCATGGTCTGACAATCAATCTGGGAAAGTGTGTGTTTTTTATGAAAGAAGTTACCTTCCTGGGTCATGTGATAAATGGGGATGGAATTAGACCTATAGCTGAAAAGGTAGAAGCGATAAGAAATTTTAAAAAACCGAAGGAAGTACGAGAGTTAAGAAGGTTCATTGCTTCAATTAATTTTTACAGGCGTTTCCTCCCGAATGCCGCAAAGAATCATGGCATCCTGCACGCGCTGTTAAAAGGAAATAAGAAAAATGATAGATCTCTGATTGATTGGACAGCAGAGGCCGAGAAAATATTTGAAGTGTGTAAGAATAATCTGGCGAATGCTGCAATGCTAGCACACCCGGCTCCGAATGCGAAACTGGTGCTAAATGTGGATGCTAGCAATGTTGCAGTAGGAGCAGTGTTGCAACAGCTTATAGATGGACAGATGCAACCGCTGGGATTTTATTCCAAAAGGCTGACAGAGACTCAAAAAAGATATATTACTTATGACCGCGAGCTACTTGCTATATATATGGCGGTCAAGTATTTCAGGTACATGATTGAGGGCAGGAATTGCACTGTGCTAACGGATCATAAACCGATTACATTTGCTTTCTTACAAAGATCTGAAAAAGCATCAGAACGCCAGTTACGCCATTTAGATTTTATCGGGCAGCTGACAACAGATATTCAGCATATAGCAGGCAGCAAATATACGGTCGCAGATGCTTTATCTCGAGTCGAAAGTGTAGTGGCTGGAGTTAGACGATCACTAGACTATGATAAGTTGGCAGAAGCTCAGAAAGTTGATCAAGAGATGAACGAGTTGATAAGAAACTGTACAGCGTCATCTCTGGAGCTCAAGTTGGTAGAGTTAATTACAGAGGGTGTTTCTGTGTATTGTGATGTATCCGGAAAG